CCTCCCTCCTTTCCCTCCCCTCCCTCTCTCTCTCTCTCTCTCTCTCTCTCTCTCTCTCTCTCTCTCTCTCTCTCTCTCTCTCCCTCTCCCTCTCCCTCTCCCTCTCCAACCTGTGCCTCTCCATCTCTGCTACTACTACTACTACTACTACTACATTACCTACATCTCCATCCATCCATCCATCCATCAATCAATCAATCAATCAATCCATTCACGACATTCTCCTCTCCCAGAGGCTCTCCCAGAGAGAGAGGCTAGGAGGCAGTAGGTACCTAGCAGCTATCCCACAATGAAAAGAAAAAAAAGGGCCGAATTGACAGACACTTGTAATCTATAGGTAAAGTTCCAAAAAAAAGGTAGCAGTAGGATTGTGATCCTTTGGTACTTGTGCATCAAACATTAAAGTAGTACATGTACATGTTCGTCCGTAGAGGTACCTGTACCTGACCTAACTAAGGTACGGAGGTATCTAACCCAGAAGAGAACAATTGCCCATACACGTCGTGATGAGATAAGGTTAGTTAGGTCAGGTATATGTATTCACATTATGATTTTCGCTAGGAGGTAGAAAAAAGAAAGGAAAGTGTTCTAGTACCTGAACTATACTAAGTAAGGTAGGTATGCAATTATCATCAGTACATGTGCATACAAAAATGTATAAGGTATACCTAGTCGAAAGGATTTGAAGGCTACCTCCTAGTGTATCAATACAGACGTCAAACTCAAGTCAACTCAAAAGTCAATTGAATATTAGCGTCACGTCTCGTCATATGCATCTGCTTCTGCATCTGTATATACCTCCTAAGTAATTGATCTCAGCCGCTTACATACCTCCTAGAATTTAATCGATCGAGGCAAAAGACGAAAGAAAGAAAGAAAGAAAAGTATCTATACCTTACCTTACCTTACATACCTTATATATGTAAATTCGTATAATTTAATTTATATAAGGTAGGGTAAGAGCATTTGGTTTTTCGAATACGCGATAGTCAGGTAAGATAAGAAGAAATAAGAAGGAGCCTGTTGTTTTCTCTCTATCATCTTTCCTACAAGCCGAAATAGTCTACATTTCCGCCCATTGCCAAATCTATTCTTCTCCCACTCTCCCACTCCTCTAATCTTCAATATCTCGTACATGATCATCACGACGACCTTCACCGAGCAGCGCTCGTCTCTCTTCATCCAGAATCTGTTTCTCAGAATGTCCTTGCCATCCCGTTCCAGCTTGGCATAGGAAAGATACGACCGCCACTGCAGCCATAGCGAGCCAGAGAATCTTCAAGGCGTCTTGATAGCTTTCGATTGCAATTTCTCTTTCCATGCCGTGTAATTGATCTACCAGGGCGGGTTTCCCCAGAAGCTCGCGTACCAGTTGCGGGTTAGTGAGGTTGGCATTGTCGAGTTTGGATGTGAGACTTGTAGTGAGTTTGCGTTGGAAAACTCCGCCTCCGATGGCAGATCCGAAAGATCCTGCGAAACCGCGAAAGGTGGACAGTAATGCGGTGGCGACGTAGTGGGTTTCTTTGGGTGTGATGTGTAAGAGATGGGCGAGGTTGTAGTTCATGGCTGCACCTGTGGCGAATCTGGGAAGATTAAAACAGGTCAGCCATATGGCTTGGAATCTGAGTAGGCGAGAAAAAGAAGGAATGCTGGACTTACCCGCATAAGAAGAGGATGAGCACAATCGCCCAGGCGGGAACGGAACCGGTTGATAACAAACCCAATAGTACGAGCGTGATGGGAAAGAGCAGATAGAATACCAGGGTGGGTGCGTAGAACGAGCCATGACGCTTGATATGTAAATATCCCACGGACAGCCCTCCGAGCGCGAAGCCGAAGTTGGTAGGCACCAACATGGCACCAGCTGCTGAGGGAGCCCACGTGCGGACCGCAAGTGCGTAGGTTGGCTCATAGAAGAGTACGCTCCATCGGCCTGCCATGAAGCCGAGTGTACCCAGGCAAGTCAACAGTAACCCTCTCGATCGGAGCAGCGAGACGGGAATGATGGGGTCCTGTGCGAGAAACACCTCGTTATTGACGAACAGAATCAACACGAATGCAGACACGACTATGGGCCAGATGGGGATTTTCTTGGGTGCAGCCATTGCGTACAAAACGAGCACCAATGAAGTCGTGAGTAACACTGCGCCCAGATAGTCCAGATTCCGCACCCGCTTCCACGTGTCGTCTGCTTTTCCGTTCTCGACACCCTTCTTCCCGCCGTGAAAGTCTCCGGGTAAAGCGAACAGTAAGATGAGTCCCGGCACCACGCATGCAGGAACCTGAAGCCAGAATAACGCTCGCCAGCCCGTGACAGGCAGCAAAGCCCCCGCGGCAGTTGCACCCACTGCGACGCCAATCGTGAATCCCGTATTCAGTAGCCCAATGCCCAGACCTCGACGTTGCGAGCCCGTGAGTTCCAGGACGATGATCAAGGAGATGGTGAAGACGCCACTCGATCCCGCGCCTTGTACGCATCTCCCCGCCACGAACGATCCGAATCGGTTTGAGACGGCGCAGATCAAGCTTCCCAGAGCCAGTACCATCGCCGAGAGAGATATGCAGGAACGAGGAGGAAACACGCTACTCAATTTCCCGTTCAGAGGTCCCAGAGCAGACATGGTGATCAAGAAAGCTGAAGTGAACCATGAAGTCGTTTCAAAGGAATTGAGCTCGTCGGCAATGGCCGATTGTGTCGTCGTGAGCAGGCTCATATTGGTGGCAACGGTGAAGACGAGTATGCCCAGAGCGATGAAGACGAGTATGCCTCGAACGCGGCTCAATGCTTGACTCGCCATAGTATGGCCATTGTGGTCCTCGACGGCCGGGATGTTCGCCGCGCCATCTGCAGGTGCTTCGCTGACGGGCTCGCTGGCGGAATGCGCGGTGGTGGCGGTGGCGGGAGGGATCAAGAGAGCGGAGTCGGACAGAGTAGATTTCCTGGAGGAGGAAGAAGAGAGATCTCTACTGCTACTCTCCGTCTCATTGGGCATCCCTGTTTGTCTGTCTGTTTGCTGCCAAGGCCCTGCAATGGCCTTGATATCGTCGCGTGATGCGGCGCGATTTGTTGTTGGTCTATCTCCTAGGAGTGTGTATACACCGATCCGGTAGCGAACAATAATTCACTTCCACTTCCCGACAGTAAGTCCAATGCCAAGCCAGAAAGACCAAAAGAGAAATGAAGTGAAGTCCAAAGGATGGAAAGGATGGAAATTGTTGGTCATCATCGATCCATCCAACTACACCTTACAGCTCCTTCGAGTCGGCCTATCGAAGATTACCAAGCAATCCGCTGAATGTGGTTAGTTCTCAGCCTACCAACACGCGTCTACCGTATTCATCGTAGAATCGTTATCCCTTCTCATCTCAGTCGGTGTCGTGCAAAGGCACCTGGATCATTATTGTGAAAAGTGATGTTATTATATGTAATTCCCTCCGGAAACACAATATTGAATGAGAATACCTCCTTGTTGGAGAATCAGAGAGCAACCTGGAAAAAAGATCGAGTTCCGTCCGAGATATCCGCCCCGGAGCCGAGAAAAGACCGTGTTCTGACCAAGCAACACCGCAGACTGCGGGGACACAAATGCTATTTCGACCCCTATACCAGGAAATTTCACTACTCCCGCTCTCCCATTCTCCTCTGGCGATCATCTTCCTGGGGGAGCCAACAAGCGGGGATGTTGGACGGCATCTGCTTTCCGGGGTCAAGTCTCCTACGATTTGCGATGTTCTATGGCTATGCTCGCCGTGGACATACATACCTCCTACGTCAATATCCCACCCCCTTTTGACTTTCTCTACCATGTTCCTTTCGACCAGAAAGCATGTGGCTTCACGAGTTTGTAGGTTGCATCTCCGCTGGCACTACATATATATATATATAAAGTAGTAGTTCTATCAATGGCGAGCGATTGTTGAAGGAGAAGTAATTTCGTGCTTCTATATCCTTACGCTCCGTTAGTATCACTTTCTTTCTAGTAAACTGCTACCCTCGCCCTGTACACTTCTTTCATCGGTTTCAGGATGGGCAGAGATCTCCATGTTGGCATCGTTGGGGCGGGAATCGGCGGCGTCTTGGCTTCCATCGCAATGGCTCGCGTAGGTTGCAAGGTGACTGTGTTAGAGGCCGCTGAGCAGCTGGGTGAGATTGGTGCTGGTATCCAAATGGTGATTTATCCTCCATTTCATTTGCATATATTTGCGCCGAAACTGACAATGCCAAGACTCCCAATGTAGCTCGACTCCTCATCCGATACGGCGTGGACAAGGTCATTGGAGACGATTTGGTCCGTATTACCGAGTTGAATCTAAGAAAGAAGGACGGGACAAAGGTCGGATATACCGCCGTCAAGCGTGTTGAGGACGCTCTCGGGTTAGAAATCTCCTAATGTCAATGGCTCGTTCTGAAAAAGAAGACTGACGCAAAGGTGTTCTCCTCCCTAGATATCCTTGGTGGCTGGTCCATCGTCATCATCTTCACAACGGCCTGGTCGAAGTCGCGAGGCAGAGTGGGGTCAACTTGATCATCAGCAGCCGTGTGGCGAGCATATCCCAATGCTCAGATGGAAGAGTTGAAGTGGCTACTCAAAAAGGCGTTCGACACACATTTGACCTCGTGGTCGGCTCGGATGGAGTAAGTGGGCAACCCCCGAAACGCATCTACCACGCCATTGACACGCTTTCAGGTGCAATCTGTCGTCCGACGGTCCCTGTTTCCGAACGTCAAGCCGCGCCCACCGACCGGCAATTGTGCCTATAGAGCTATTGTGCCATATGAGGAAGTCAGGAATGATCCCATCACTCGGGAGCTCGTCGAAGATGCAAATGGCAATCCGATGAACACGATGGAAGTGTGGATGGCCTCCACCGGCTATATCATATCATATCCCATTTCCGGTGGCAAAGACTTCAATATGGTCCTGAGCCACTTTCGAAGCCCACCCGTCGACGCCGTGCAAGAGGTGTCCATCGATGAGGTACGGCAAGAGTACAAGGACTATGATCCTCGCATCAAGCGTGTCGTCGAAATGATCCAGCCGCCGATATCTCGCTGGCCTCTGCTGGTGACGGGGCCTCTCGACTCGTGGTCCAATGCGGAAAAGAATGTTGTCCTTGTGGGAGATTCGGCACACAGTATGGTGAACCACATGGCGCAAGGAGCCGCTACTTCTATGGAGGATGGTGCCTTCTTGGCCCGATCTCTCGGTAAGGCACAGTCGAAGAAGACGGCAGTCAATAGCTCTAGAGGCCGACTAACATGTTCCAGCTCATGTCGTCAGTGGCAGCATTAGCCTCCAGGATGCAATTGCATTGTACGAGAAGGGACGCATGCCGAAAGCTCGATACAAGCAGCAAGTATCGTATCTGAATGGCTGGATCTGGCATTTACCAGATGGCCCCGCTGCAGAAGCCAGAAACGATACAATGAAGTGCGAATTAGAAGGCCAAGTGCCGATCAGGAGCGCCAATCTATATGGTGACCCGACTACAGTTCTGGAGTGTTATGGATATGATGCAGAGAGCCATGCAGATCAGGTCATTGAAGAGTTTCTGCATTCAGGTCCGATTATGGACGCAGCGACCACTGTCAACAAACCAGAAGCGGACAGGATCGCGAGCTGGTTTCTTCCCCAGGAGCATAGGTTCAAGGTACAGTCAAGGCTATGATTCGGAGAGGCGTTGCGACGCATGGGCATGTACGGCGAAAAGTCGCCGAAGACTACCTGTACTGTATACTGTGGCCTGTAACTAGATCGATCGGAATGTAGTAAAAGGACGGGACGGGAAGGATTCAGATATGTATTGAGGGTTCACAGCCTATCACAGGCCCCTGAGTTGGCTAGTGCTGGGCGACAGGAGACTAGCCGGCCCCCTTGGCATAAAACTGACAGCGGCTGCGGACGCTTAGATCGTCTCGTCACTCGCTCCGGGGCTGCCTCCATGCATTATTGCATAAAAAAGTCCTGTGAAACGAGCATCGCCGAGCGTACATTGTACAGTATGCAATCCACCGTGGGACTTGGACATTGCACCGTGCATGGCATCGACTTACGGCCCACACCAAGAAGTACTCTGTACCGAGCGAGAGCAGATACGAGATTCTACAGTACACCGGTTCTACAATACCCTGTCCCTGATGGGCTCAGGAGACTTCACTTGCAGCAGGATGTCGTGTGCTTCTCATAGGACGCTTCGACGATGGCAGTGTTACAAGTACCTGGACTAGCACGAGAAGATAGTCCCTGCGGCCTCAAAAACAGTTATGGGCGAAGTACACTAAGATGATGGCTGAATACTTATTGGCGGTGCAGGCGCCCCTCAACATATGTACAGGTACTGCTGCGGCTCCGCTCATATCGACTCTAGATGGACGAGCTAAATAGACAGCCAACCTCACTCTACGACGAGGGCGGCCTCTCTTGCTTCTCGATTTTCTGCACACAATTCCGATCGATCATCATATTCTGATCAGCCTATCAGTACTGGGAACACACACTACGGCTTCGGAAAAGTGTCATTACAGCGCAACAGCTATAGGCATCTTTCGACCCCGGTGATTGTGGCAAGCACTACTTGAACGAAGTAACACGCTCGATCGGCCACCTCTTTCGCTTGGACTGGATGGATTCCTGCTCAGCTCTCTGGGCACATCAACGCAATTCTGGAGTTGTCGCCTCCACCGATCCCACAATTCCTTCCCCTGATCAGCAAGTTGGCCCGCCAGAGACTCTTCAAAGATCGTACCCTGCGCTCGTCAACGCCACCGACGGGCGCAGGCTCTTGCAATCGCAACCAGGCTTTGCACTTCGTTCCACATTCATGGCAAGTGAGGAGGACTGGCGATTCTACTCATTCCCGAGCCACCGTGGTACCAGCGTTCTATCGTCCACTGTCAGCAGCGCGCTGAGTGACCGGCCCGATACACCTAGACTCTCACCCGACACCTTCGATCGACTCTCGACTCGATCAAACTCCTCCTTCGCCAACGACGTTCCATACGCCAACGGTGGCCCGAAACAGATCTGTTCCCCAAGCCCTTATCCAGGCTTTGACTGTGTCGCCATGGATGACGTACAGAAATTTCTGGACGAGTCGCCAGCAGACACATACTTCTCCATCGCCGCCGACGCTCACCACTGGGCGGAATTCAACTATCCTCCGCATCTAGTACACGATGGCTACGTGCCAATTGGCCCGCAGAACACCAACGACATCACCACCCCAGCTACATATCACAGCACTCCAACAACGAGCGAAGAGACCTCTGCGATCCCAGGGGCATCACGCCACGAGTCTGTAGAACTCAGACCAGCCATCCGTCGCCGGCGAACAACTCCCGCTCATCCCCTGACATCGCAGAAGACATTAACTGGACGAACAAGCAAGCGATCTGCGCGGCGACGACATAATCCCTCTCTCCAAAATCAGAGGGTGGTAGAATCTGAGCCCGAACAGGAATCCTCTGGTGCTCCGATGCCATGTCCCTTCATCATCTACGGCTGCCCACGAACCTCCTTTGGCAACAAGAACGAATGGAAGCGACACATCCAAACCAAGCATATGCAACTCGAGTACTGGCGCTGTCAACAATGCGAAGAAGAAACCCCCGAGAAGAGTAAGAGTAGTAGTAGTAATAATAGCAATCGTAACCGTAAGTCAACAAATGACTTCAATCGCCGAGACCTCTTTATACAACATCTTCTTCGAATGCATCCCTTTTCTGGCGCAAGTTTCACTGCACACAAGAACAACAACAACCCTGCAGCAACCGGAGAAAAAGCAGCACCAAGACCCCCCCGCAACAACCTCGAACAAAACTACCTCACAACCGAAGCCTCAATTTGCCACCACCAATCTCGTCTCCCACCCACCACCAGTCGCTGTATCTTTTGCTCGCAAAATTTCCAAGGCCCGGAGAGTTGGGAGAAGAGATTAGAGCATGTAGGGCGACATTTGGAGGAAATGAAGAGAGGAAATGTGGAAGTTGTGCCGCCGAGAGAGTGGCTTGTGGATCGGGAGTTGGAGGGGTATTTGCTTAGAGAGGGATTGGTGGTGTGGAGGGGAGGAAGGGTGGTGTTGGTTGAGTGAGTGAGTGAGTGAGTGAGTGAGTGAGTGAGTGAGTGAGTGAGTGAGAGGGGGGGGGGGATTTTGTTCGGCTTGTTGGGAGGAGAAGAAGAAGATGATGTTGAGATTCTCATGCAAAAGATACCCACCCATATGAAGTGCGACGTATTATTAACTACATATAACTCTCCTCTCCTCAATTCCTTCCTTCCTTCCCTCTATCCCATCCCATCCCATCCTGTCCCGTCCCCTTTCTCACCAGCCCTCCTCTCTCTCTCTCTCTCTCTCCCTCCCCCCC